TGCTGATGATGATGAGGATGAGGAGGAGGAGGAGGAACACGAGGAGGATGAGAAGGAGGAGGGGGAGGAGGAGGAGGAGAAGGAGGAGGAGGAGGAGGAGGAGGAGGAGGAGGAGAGGAACACGAGGAGGAGGATGAGGAGAAGGAGGAGAAGGAGAAGGAGGATAAGGAGGAGGAGGAGGAGGAGGAGGAGGGGGAGGAGGAGGAGGAGAGCAGGAACACGAGGAGGGAGGATGAGGAGGAGGAGGATGAGGAGGAGGAGGAGGAGGAGGAGGAGGAGGAGGAAGGGGGAAGGTGCAGGAGGTGGAGAAGGAGGGGAAGGACGAGGAGGAGGAGGAGGAGGAGGCGGAACAGGAACAACAGGCAGAGAAGGAGGAGGAGGAGGAGGTGGAGGAGGAGGAGGTTCACTGCCCATAGAAGAAGAGGTCATGGGAGGGACCATCGGGGTGGGGACGACCTTTCAAGAGGACCTCTGTCAGACCCGCCACGGCGTTCCATCCCCCGCGGCGTAGTAGTCAGCCGAAAACCTTCCATCTTCGGCTGCACCGCCTGGCCCCCGAGCTCGCCTCGACGCGGCCCCGGCCCAAACCCGAACGACGGTACCCGGGGCCATGTGGAGGAGGAAGAGGAGAAGGAGGAGGAGGAGGTTCGCTGCCAATAGAAGGAGAGGTCATGAGAGGGACCATCGGGGAGGGGATGCCCAAGAGGACCTTTGTCAGACCCGCCACGGGGTTCCATTCCCCGCGGCGGCCCCCCGACGACAGGGCGACCCCACCCCTTTAGTAGTCAGCCGAAAACTCTCCATCTTCGGCTGCACCGCCTGGCCCCCGAGCTCGCCTCGACGCGGCCACGGCCCGAACCCGAACGACGTTGTTACCTGGGACCATCTGGAGGAGGAGGAGGAAGAGGAGGAGGAGGAGGAGGAGGAGGAGGAGGAGGAGGAGGAGGAGGAGGAGGAGGAGGAGGAGGGAGGAGGAGCAGGAGGAGGAGGAGGATGCTGATGATGATGATACTGATGATGCTGCTGATGCTGATGATGATGATGATGATGATGATGAGGAGGAGGAGGAGGAGGAGGAGGGAAACGCCGTCTGCCCACTCGTGGTGGAACGGCCGTGCGCGGCTGGCTGACAGCTCCGCGAGACAGGCGTCAATTTAGCTGGACGTCAAGAAGCCCCAGCACCTGCTAGTCCAGCAGTCCTTCATGGCATTTGTTTGTCAGTAGAGGAAGTCGGCAGAAGCATGGGTGCGGCCTGCTCTTGGACGTTTCCACACCGTATTGATGGGAACCAGGCGGGCCTGCGTAAGCACTGTAGCTGATCTGACGTTCGGGCACTTCACACTCGACTGCCATATCATTGATCTGCAAGATGCGCATGCTCGACCATCGCGAAATCATTTATGTAATGCACGCAGTCACCGCATACCAAATTAGTAGATTCTGAACAGTGGCGGGGTGAACTTGATACATGTGTGCTGCAGTGACCGCCAAACATCGCGCTCGGCGACGCCAGCACGCACCTAGGCAACACATGCCGAATTCATAGCTCGTGCCAGGCAGTTGGAGGTGTTTGTCCGCATCCTGCTGAGTGCCATGCTTCAGGTATGGACGACCAACCAGGACATAGGCTGCGCATGCTAGCGGGTTATTCTTGAACATTGTTTCCCCTGGCAAAGGTGCCGCGCAGATGTCAGGAGCGCGGGCGCGTTCCACAAGATCGACTACGTCATACCGGACACGGTATGCCACGGATATTGCAAAGCCAGCATGGTGGATTACGCGCTTAGCGCACACACGGCGACGGGCGGCCACATGCCAGTATACGCCGGATAGAAAATTTATCATAAGCAGAGCGATTGCCAAGGGGATGCCAGGTTGAAACTATATCGGTTCAAACTGAGTAGTCTTCAATGTCCGCCAGGTGTTGAATCCATGCTTGGCTCCGCGAGCTTACCCAACTGGGATACGGACGTGACTTTACACCAGCAGCACGCTGACAGCATCGTTCGACAGGCAGCTGCACCATACCTCGGCGCGGGAAGGCTGACCCCGATGCAACCTTGCATCACGGATCGAGCAATGGAGCTGGTCAGATTGAGGCGGGCGTGGGGCGAACGACCACAACGTGTTCAACGAAGTAGAACAGACCTGTTCCGCGACCTGCTCCTCGGCGATCCTGTTTTTCATCCTGGCGTCAGCTGGCCTTGGGCTCAGAAGGTTGTCGGTCTCAGACGCATTCGCAGGGGGGAACTGGCGGCGTCCAGATCGACGAGGGCTGTAAGCAAGCCGCAAAGCTGGTCAAATGAGCATATCGCAAACGACCGCAGGGCACATGTCGAGCAGCTCGGGGTATAAATGGAACGCTTTGTCGCCTCAAGGGGCCACGGAGTCGTTGCCAAGATAGGGTGGGCGTCAAGCTGGGCAGTCCAAGCACTTGCAACTTGTAGATGATACAGGCGTGGCCCTCGAGGGCGATGCCCAGGAGACTAGAGACATCCTGCACCGCTCCATCTTGACCTAAGATGCTGACGTGCCTGGGCCAGCTGTCTTGCAACGCGTGTCTCACGGGAGGCTGCGCCGCGACTTCGGCAACGTGGTGTTCGATCATCAGACACGACCCTTTCGCCGTCACATGTTTGCAGATCGCTTCGGCGAGTTCAGAGACGCCAAGCAGCTGCGCGTGATCTGATCTCAGGAGATCTACTTGCTGGGCCACAATCACTATCCAGAGTGCCCTGCCTGATTTTCGCAATGGAGGCATGCGCGCTCAGGAGCCCTTCCACTGGAAGCACCGCGCGGTTTTCCCATGTACAGGTGTTGTTGGCTGGGAACATCAGCAGGTGCAGGCGCCGCTTTTCTCATAGACCAGCTGACCCAGAACGCACGGGCGGTGCTCAGAGACGCGCGGAACGGTGGGCGACAACGGCGACGACCAGCTCACTTCTGGCACATTCTCAGGAGCTTCACGCAGGCATGCAAGAAGGACGGGCGTGCGGCCATTCTTTGCTCTATCGCCTTGAAGGCGGCGTTTTGTCCCATTGCCAGATATCCGGTGCCGCCGATCACCCGGGGAGACGACGACAGAAAGTTCACGTTTCACAATCGCGATCTCCTGTTGATTCTACCCCCTCTATTCGCGACAATACTGCGCCGCCCTGGGGCGTGGGCGCAGCAGGCCAGTGTTCCGCGCCAGTTGGCGGCGCGGATCGAGGCGCGTCGAGGCGCTTACTTCGGTGCAGGAGGCAAAGGGCGCAGCCGATGGGCTCGGTCGCGACGCGCGTCGCTGCCTGGGAGTTCGCTCGCCGATGCAATTTCTGACGCTGTCTGTTCTTCGCCCCCCCTGCCTCTTCGCCTGCCTTTCTCGGCGCGCCGAAGGTGTCGAGAGGCTTGGGCCCAGTTGTCGCGCGCTGGCTCCCAGGCGCAAGCTTGGCGGGCATCTCCTTCGTGGGCGACGGGGTGCGCCTGCTCGCTCCGCCATCCGCGGCTGCGGCCAAAGCGCGCGCTGGCGCCGCAGCGGGCGCCGCGCGCGAGAGAGTGCCCACCCGCGGCCTCGCGGCCGACTACCAGAGGCACGAGGCCAGCACAATGATCCAATGATCATACCTGCAGGGGCGGGGGCATCTGACTTTGAGATTGTAATTTCAGGCCCAGGATAGAGAGGTGATGGCCGCGGCCAAGTCGGGGGATCGAGGCGCATCTGGCGCGGCGCCCCAGCTGCTTAGGAACGCTCGTGGGCGAGGAGTGCGCCCAGGGGCTGCGGATAGCCGTGGCGGTGGCGAAACGTCGCGCGGCGTGCAATCCTACTGGGGGGAACGGCGGCCAAGTCGCGCAGGCTCAGCGCGCGCTCGAAGGTCAATGCACCGGGCGGCCTCGGCGGCGTCCGCGCTTCCCGCTCGACGGATGCGCGGTTCGAAGCCGCGCAACTGCGCTACTGCGTGCGCGGGGAGGGTCTGGGGGCGCATCTCGCCGCGCAGTGCTCGGGGGGGGGGGGCGGCGCTCGGGGTCGGGCTTTAGCAGGGGAAGAACACGCAGACACAATTCATCGAATCCCCAGAACATAAGGGAAATTATGGGGAGTGGGGGAGGCGAAATCCCAGATCATGTGGGAACTTCTATGGGGGGTCTGGTTATTTGTGTCTATTCGTCCGCGTGCCCCAGGGCCCCTTCATTTTGCGCCGCGGACGCAGCGACGTGACCGAGTTTGCGTTGCATGGGTTCTCGGACGCAGGAGGTGGACTTGTTGCGAAGGCCCCGCGGCCAGCGCCGCCGACCTTGAAGGGGGGCGTCGACGACGCCGCCGGCGGCGGCGCGACGACGACGCCGTCGCGGGGGCCCGAGTGGTCAGGGATGCTTCTCGGGGTCTTTTGGGGAGGCTCGCGGGGGCCTCTCGGGGGGAACTCCGGGGTCTACTGGGGGCCTCGTGGGGGCATTGGGGGCCTTCTTGGGGCCTCTTGTTTGGGCATCCTGGGAGCTTCTCGGAACCGAGGGCTCAACTGTACGTTCGGGTTCCCCGTCGAGGCGCGCTCCTGGGGCCGTCTTCTCGAGCGCGGGAGGTAGATTTATTTTGTGTGAGATTTGGTTTGCGCACCCACCCGGGCAGCTGGTCTCTGAGTAGGCGCGTCGGCCGACCAGAGTGCGGGATGTCATCGCGAGGAGTTGCAGGGCGGATTTGAATATGAACCCAGGCGAGGGCGCGCGCGCTGACCCGTGGAGGATTGGTTCCGCTCTGCCGCAGACTCTCTGCGCGACCGCAAATTGCTGGTCGACCGTGTCTGGGAGAGTTTGGGCGCCGCGTGAATTTGATCGATTTCGTCGGGCCCCTCGGCAGCGCGCGGCGAGCGACGCGGGGGCGCGCGTCCGGGAGAACCTGCCGAGGCAAGTTCGCAACATATGACTCGCGTGCGGGGCGCTGACCGCGAGCATTGCCGCGCGGGGGCGCCGCCGACTCGAACGCTTCTCGATCGACGTGGCGCAGCCGGCGGCGCTGGGCGCGCAGTGCGCAGCGTGCGGCGCAAAGTCCAGCAATGGGTTTTCCCCGATCAACAATTTGAGGCTGGTCGGCAGCGCTTATGTGCGTGGGTTAGAAGATCACATTGGAGCACGGCGCAGGGGCGAGGCTGTCACGCCGAGGGAAGGGGATGTGGACCGCGAGAACGGGCCAGCACACCTTGGGTATCATGGTCCAACAGTAGTTCGCAGAGCACGGGGGCCCGCGATTGGGGAAGGACCGGGCGGTGCCGGGCAGCCGGAGGGGGGGGCGAGGCGAACCGTGCGAGGGGGGGGGCGGGGCGAGGAGGGGGCCGGCGCTGCCGCCCAAGATGTGGGGCGATCGAATGCCTGACGGGCCCGCGTCTCGCCGAGGCTCAGCGCAAGCGCCGGGGGCCGCGGTGCATCGCATCTACCGCGGGCAGTGAGGCCAAGGGCACTTCAAAACATGTGGGGAAGCCACTGCGGATAACATCAAGGTGACCGCGCTGCCTCAGTTAACTGATGATGGAGCTGTGCGATTGCTGATCTCTCGGCGGACTCGTGGAGTGGCAATTGGCCTTGTCATTGCCCCGCTGCTGACGTCGTTCGGGATTATTTCAACGACTATTGAAGGCGATCAAATGCGCTTGCAGAACAGTAGTGGCGATGCTGGAAGAATCGGGGATCTGTGGCGCAGTGTCAGAACTCGATCGGGGCAGTGCTCGCGGGGCCAGTCTCGACTTCCCGCGCAACTGGCTGTGCGTATATTGGAAGGCGATCTGAAGTTGAGAGCTATGCTGTCGGTTCTGTCTGCTGCCGCTGATCTCGGCGTTCCAGCCGTGGTTGTGGCGCCAGCGGAAAGGCTGGCCGTGGCATGTTATGTTGCCCCAGAGTTGAACGAGGCTCTTCGGCGGCAGCGAACGCGGCATCAACAGCTGCGACATTGAGAGGTCGGCAGCTTCCGATCTGTCTCGGCCCAGCACGCGCATGCGTCACTGGTGGATGATTTCTCAGGGCCACCTCCCAGAGGTACGGCGGTAGTGCCTCTAGGAAAGTGGCCCATCGGCCTCGCAGGGTGCGTGGCCAACGCCAATTTGGCAAGCAACATGGCCCCTTTCATTGTTTAGCGAGATGTGAATTCGACGGGGCCGCTGGCTCTCGGACCACAGCTCCCTGTCCCTTCTGCAGCGGCGTCGGCGGCGATGATGTTGGATCTAACAGAGAGCACCAGGTGTCTGTCCATTCACCAGCACGTCGGCCGCGCCTGTCGTACAGCTTTCAGGGCCCGTTGCGGCGAAACTGGCAAGGGATGAACTGAACCCTAAGAACCACTCAGGGGCCCCATCGTCAGCTGTGTTGCCTCTCTGTCTTTGCTGTTCCTCTATCCACCCGCCCTGTCTCTGTCCCAGTGTTTGCCTGGCACCGTTGTGCCTTCTCGGTGTCTGTCCCCTTGTTTTGCCTGTGCGTATGTTCCTGTTGCTCACTGTATGGCCTTCGGGTGGCGGAAGTGGCAGAGGTCGAAACGTGTGTGTGTGTGTGTATGTGTGTCCATCATCACGTTGCTTCTCCGACCCCCGGTTCGGCCAGTTTCGCTGGGCCCGCGCTAGCGTTTTCGCGATTGACGGCGCGTGCCCAAGAAAGGAGGAGGGGAAAGAACATTTGGAGGGGGAGGCAATGTTAGAGCCTTCCCGGTCGACACGAGGGCCGTGCCACTGGCACTCCAGGCGGGGAAGCAGGACCCGCGCATCGGACTGCCAAACGCCAGGGCCATCATCGTACGCTGGGAGCGCTTCTCGAGCAAGGGCAAGAGGGAAGGAAGGCGCGCTGGCGGAAGCAAGCGAGGAAACAGTAAGGGTCCCTAAGGTCTTGTCTTCGGGGTGCCCTCGCAAGAAAAGCCTTGCAGCGGCACGCACTGGCTCAGCCTACCCACCCCTTCAGCGGTCGCCCCCGATGGCGCGCCCTGGAAGGCCGCCAAGCATACGGCAAAAAACACCAATCGTGATAAATGGCCAGTGATCGACTTGCTGCGCTGACGAATCCGTTTGGAAACCAAGGTTCCAATACGTGATGGGATGCCGCGCCAGCGTTGCTCCCAAACGGCGCTTCATATGCGGCTAACCTGCCGCAACGCGTGACTCGCTCTGGCGTAAACGCTCCCTTCGTCGTTTTCGCCCTCTTCCTCGTCGCCGCTGCCGCCGCCAGCGTCGTCATCGTCGTCGACGTCGCTTGTGGTGCCGCCGCCGTCGTCACCGCCGCCTCGCCGCCGTCGCCGCCATCACAGTCATCGCTGCAGTCGGTGGCAATCGCCTAGGCATCGCCAGCGCCGGCGCCTGCGGCGTCGAACCTCAGCGTCGGCGGCGGCGTCCTCCGCGCAGGCGCCCTGCCTGGCAGCGAGGAGGCGGGTGGCCGCGCTGGCAACTCCGACGAGGACGAGGAGAGCGCCCCTCTGGGCGAAAAGGTGGACGGAGTAAGTGGGACGAGAAGGAGAATCAAGATGAAGATGGTGAGTGTGATGGTGGGGATAGGGATGATTGTGAAAGCGACGGTGAAGATGATCATGATAGAGATGGTGATGGTGCTTGTGAGGGTGATGGCGGAGAGAATGGTGATGATGCCTGCGAGGGTGATGGTGAAGATGATGGTGATAGTAATGGTAATGGTGATGGTGATGGTGATGGTGATGATGGTGATGATGATGATGATGATGATGATGATGGCGATGGTGAGGATTAGTGTGGACATGATGATGCTGATGATGATGATTGTTAGGATGATATTGTTGATGATGCTGCTGATGATGATGACGACGATTCCGACGACGATCAGGATGCTGTCCACGATGATCATGCTGCTGCCGATGAGGATAACGGTGCTGATGACGATGATGATGGTGATGGTGATTGTGATGATGATGACCATAGTGATGGTGATGGTGGTGATGATGATGATGGTGATGTTGATGGTGATGGTGATACTGCTGATGATGATTGGTGATGATGGTGATTGTGATTGTGATGATGATGGTGATGGTGATTGTGATGACGATGATTGTGATGCTGATTATTGTTATGATGATGAGGATGATGATGATTATGATGATGATTATGATGATAATACCCATTATGATAATGATCCTGCTGCTGATGCTGATTCTGTGATGATGTCGACGGCGGTGGCGATGGCGATGGCGTTGGTGATGATGATAGTGATGACGGTAATGATGATGATGATGATGATGATGATGATGATGATGATGATGATGATGATGATGATGATGATGATGCTGATGATGATGATGATGATGATGATGATGATTATGATGCGGATGATGATGCTGATTCTGACGATGATGATGCTGATACTGGTATTGATGCTGATGATGATGCTGATGCTGATGGTGATGCCGCTGATGATAGTGATGATGACGATTATGATGGTGATGCTGGTGCTGATGCTGATGCTGATGCTGCTGCTGCTGTTCTTGCTGCTGCTGATGATGTTGATGTTGATGGCAGTGGTAGTTGTTCTGATGATGCCGATGATGATGATGACGATGATGATGATGCTGATGACGATGACGCTGACGATGACAATGATGATGATGATGACGATGATGACGATGATGATGATGATGATGATGATGATGATGATGATGATGATGATGATGATGATGATGATGATGATGATGATGATGATGATGATGATGATGAGGATGAGGATGAGGATGAGGATGAGGATGAGGATGACCATGCTGATCCTAATGATGATGATGCTGATGCTGATGACAATGCGGATGATGCTCAGGATGCTGCTGCTGATGATGACGATGATGATGGTGGTGGTGGTGGTGGTGGCGATGGTGGTGATGATGATGAGGAGAAAAGACACGATTATTATGATGATACCGGTGGTGGTGCGGATGGTGAGAAGGAGGAGTGCGCGGAGAGCGCCGGGGGCGGCGCTGGAGGCGCCGCCAGGGGCCGTCCAGCGCCGACCACGAACCCCGCACGGACATTTTCCAGAGTCAATGCCGAAGCCGCCTCCGTTTTGCTCTCGGTTTTGCTCTCCTCTCCTCTGCTCTCCTCTCCTCTCCTCTCCTCTCCTCTCCTCTCCTCTCCTCTCCTCTCCTGTCCTCTCCTCCTCCCCCTCCTCCCGCTCCTTCCTCCTCCACCTCCTCCCACCATCAGCATCAACATCATCAGCAGCAGCAAGAACAGCAGCAGCAGCATCAGCATCATGATCAGCATCAGCATCAGCATAAGCATCAACATCAGCATCATCACCATCATCATCATCATCACCATCATCATCATCATCATCATCATCATCATCATCATCATCATCATCATCATCATCATCATCATCATCATCATTACCATCATCATCACCATCATCACCATCATCATCATCAAACTCGTCACCGTCATCGTAATCACCATCGTCATCACCATTACGGCCGTCATCGTCACCATCATCGTCATCGTTCCCCGCCCATTCCTGAGGCCCTCACACGGTTCATGGCCCCACATAGAGTTCCACCGAAGGCCCCAGCGGCAGGGTTCGCATGCAGTTCCACGTTCATTTCGGCGCACCCATCACACGGTTCGTGGCCCCATGTGTAGGGATCTCCACCACAGGCCCCAGCGGCAGGGTTCGCATGCAGTTCCACCTTAACTTCGGCGCACCCCTCACACGGCTCGTGGCCCCTTGGGGAGTTCCACCGAAGGCACCGGTGGCAGAGTTTGCATGCAGTTCCACGTTCATTTCGGCGCTTCTCTCACACACGCTTTGTGGCCCCATAGGGATCTCCACCGAATACTTCAGTGGCAGGGTTCGCATGCAGTTCCACCTTCATTTCGGCGCACCTCTCACACGCTTCGTGGCCCCATAGGGATCTCCGCCGAATGCCTCAGTGGCAGGGTTCGCATGCAGTTACACCCTCGTCCGCGCACCGCTCACTCGGTTCGTGGCCCCATAGGGAGCGCCACCGAACGCCCCAGCGGCAGGGTTCGTACGCAGGTCCACCTTCATTTTGGCGCACCCCTCACACGGTTCGTGGCTCCATAGTAGGGAGTTCCACCGAAGGCCCCAGCGGCAAGGCTCGCATGCAGGTCCACCATCATCTCGGCGTACCTCTCACACGGTTCGTGGCCCCATAGGGGTTCCACCGAATGCCTCAGAGGCAGGGTTCGCAGGCAGTTTCACTTTCATTTCCGCGCGCCCTTCACACGGCTCGTGGCCCCATAGAGAGTTCCACCGAAGGCCCCAGTGGCAGGGTTCGCATGCAGTTCCACGTTCATTTTGGCGCACCTCTCACACGCTTCGTGGCCCCATAGGGATCTCCACCGAATGCCTCAGTGGCAGGGTTCGCATGCAGTTCCGTTTTATTTCGGTGCCACTCTCACACGGTTCGTGGCCCCATAGGGAGCTCCTCCGAAGGCCCCAGAGGCAGGGTTTGCATGCGGTTCCACCCTCATCTCTCGGTCTACACGGTTCGTGGCCCCATAGGGGGTTCCACCGAACGCTCCGTTGGCAGGGTTCGCATGCAGGCCCACCTTCATCTCGGCGTACCTCTCACACGGTTCGTGGCCCCATAGGGAGCTCCACCGCAGGCCCCAGCGGCAGGGTTCGCATGCAGTTCCACCCTCATTTCGGCGCACCCATCACACGGTTCAGGCCCCATTCTTGAGGCCCTCACACGGTTCATGGCCCCACATGCAGTTCCACCGAAGGCCCCAGCGGCAGGGTTCGCATGCAGTTCCACGTTCATTTCGGCGCACCCATCACACGGTTCGTGGCCCCATGTGTAGGGATCTCCACCACAGGCCCCAGCGGCAGGGTTCGCATGCAGTTCCACCTTCATTTCGGTCACACGGCTCGTGACCCCATAGGGAGTTCCACCGAAGGCCCCAGTGGCAGGGTTCGCATGCAGGTCCACGTTCATCTCGGCGCACCTCTCACACGCTTTGTGGCCCCATAGGGACCCCCACCGAATACCTCAGTGGCAGGGTTCGCATGCAGTTCCACCTTCATTTCGGCGCACCCCTCACACGGTTCGTGGCCCCATAGGGAGCTCCACCGCATGCCACAGCTGCAGGCTTCGCATGCAGTTCCACCTTAATTTCGGCGCACTCTCACACGGTTCGTGGCCCCATAGGGAGCTCTACCGCAGGCCCTAGCGGCAGGGTTCGCATGCAGTTCCGCTCAGGTTTTGGTGCCCTTCTCACACGCTTTGTGGCCCCATAGAGATCTCCACCGAATACTTCAGTGGCAGGGTTCGCATGCAATTCCACCCTCATCTCGGCGCACCCCTCACACGGCTAGTGGCCCCAGGGGGGCTCCACCGAAGGCCCCAGCGGCAGTGTTCGCATGCAGTTCAACCCTCATTTTGGCGCACCCCTCACGCGGCTCGTGGCCCCTCCACCGAAGACGAGACTCACATTGGCGACACCCACAATTGCATAGGGTTGGGTCCTTCGCCAGGCTAATTATATACTTGTTTCACCCCCCTCCCTGTTCGCCCGCAGTGTGTGGTGGCTGACCTCCCGCGGATCTCCTGCCAGCTTGGCGGGCAGCGGGAGGGAGAGAGCCGCGGGGAGGAGGGGACGGGGAGGAGGAGGAGTCAGGATGTGGAGATCTGCGTCACCCCGACATACTTATACTATATGTGTGTCGCCCCCCTAGGGGCGACGCGCGCACCGAGAACTCCTATAATAGTATATGCGTCGTGTGGCGGGCGCTTTCTGGTCACACCGCTCGGGAACCGATATACTACAGGATGGGTATACTATTATATGTTCGGGTCGGACGCGCGCCTCCAAGGAGGACATATAGTTGGAGGTTGGGGTGTGAGATCGCAGTGAAACGGAGACTCCCCACCGGGAAATCGGTTTCGGTTTCGTGTTCGTGTCGTGCGTGTGGGCGAGGCGAAGCTGCGCGTGATCCTCCTGTAGCTAGGCCGAAGTTGGAGCGAAAGTCCGCTCCCGTCTGCCGGTGGCTGGCATGTGTCCCAGTTGGGCTGGGCGGTGTCCCGGGTGTCCCGGGTGTCAATATAGGAGCGAAAGTCGATCCGTTTCCCGTCCGCCGGTGGCCGGGAGGTGTCCCAGGTGGGCCGGGAGAGACAGAGAGAAAGAGAGAGATGAGATCAAGGTGACAGGCTGGAGGGTGGGCATTTGATCTCAATCCCCCCCCACCTCCTCATCGCCCGCAGGGCGGTCGTATAGGTATTAGTATGTCCCTGTGCGTCCCATGGAGAGTGAGGAGGAGGACAGGGAGTGGGGACGACGGAGGATGAGGGGAGGAGGGGTCCCATGGTAAACCCAGGGTGCATCAGCGATGCTGCAATGGCGGGCCCGTCACAGGGCCCGACCGTCGCCAGAGGTCCTGCGATTTGTCTGCAAGATCATCAGCTCGATGGCGAAATCGCGAAGCCGCGAAGCCAAGCGCCGTGCCCATGAGGGGCACCAGCACTGAGC